TAAGTTCGGGTTGTTGCCATTTTGAAGCCTTAACTAGTAGGGAATATTATATTCAGTTAAAAATTTCTTTTTCCTTGTTTGTTCTGTCTGGGGAGTACGTTTCATGTTCTCAAGTGACCCAACAAATGATTCGTAGCAGAGGTATGGTTGTTGATGAATGATCTAAAAGATCCCCATTCACACAATGAAAAAACCTAGTATGTTGAGCACTTTGCCACAGGCAGCACCCAAAGCACCTGTAATTGTGACTCTCCTCTTCGAAGCCTTTGGTCACTGCAGTATCTAGTCTGTGAACTCTTACCTGGTGGCAGGCTGCCTCCAGCAAGTGGCCGAGATGCCCAGTGAAAAGAAAGCTGACAGACATAGATGTCACTGACTGTAGCCCTGCTTTCCCCTGCTGTCACAGCCCCCAGATCTCCGCTGATGGGTGGAAGAAGCCCCTTCCCTGCGGTGTGTGGGTCTGCTGAGGCTGCCCCAGCACAGGTATAGTGGGCTTTCACATAGCTCCAGAATGCACTGACACGGACAACCTGTGGAACAGTGCAGGACGGAGGGTGCAGTAGATACTTGTTGGCTTGGGTAGATCAAATGTTGCATGTGCAGCTTATTAGCTTTTATTGGGTATTTTGGGTCCAGTAATCACGATTGCAAAGTAAAGCAAAACGTTTACCTTCCTAGCTACCTTCTTATGGTTCTATCATTTGGTTCTGTCAGAACTGAGCAGGAGCAGGAGATGTTTCAATCTCAGTATGTCCTGAAGGTTTTCTGTCCCTGTAAACTGATGAGAGTCATGCGCAGGGTCCTTCAAGAATGAGCAACTGAGTATGTCAGACACCCGCAAAGGAATAATGGGAATACCCAGCTGATTTGCTTTCATACCATCACGCTGGAGAGATGAAATCTAAATAGAGCAAAAGCAAACTTTCTGGGCAAAGGTGTGCACAGCCCTGGTCTGCCTTTGATTGTCTCTGGCACCTTGGTGTGGCTGTAGCCTGCTGATCTCAGGTGAAATGCCACCTTTTCAGGAGCCTTTCCTCTTAGTGTGTCAGCCACACCCCTACCTTGTATTCTCTAGCCTCTCACCATGTGTATTTTCTTTACAACTCTCTTTACTACTTAAAACGATATTTTCAACTTATTTCCTCTCCCCAGTTGTACGCATACCAGTCTCCCCAAAGGTGAACTGCGTGAGAACAGAACTTAATTTCTTTTTCATGGCTTTTAGGGAGACTCAGAACAGTGACTAACACGTACTAGAGGCTCAGCGAATATTTACATACTTCATGTTAATAGGTGTGGGCAAATTAAGCACTTAATTTCTTAGCTAGCAAATGATGAGTTTGTTCAGGATTTCTAAAGTTTCAGAATACGTGCTTTTCTGAATCGCCACTTCCTTTAAGTATAATAGGTAAATTGTGTAGATACCCGTTATAAACCTCTGGTCACAAAATTGGAATAATTATAATTTTGATTTATTATTCATTTTTAATCATTGCAGTGTTCAGTCAGGGTTTACTGTTTAACATTTGATTTTGCTATTATCTCCTTCAACACAACGTCATAAAAAGCCAGGCCCTTGATGGTAAGCCTCTACCTGCAGCTGAGTGTGTGGCCCACCTGGAGCCCTCTGTCATGGAATCTGAATCCTGTTTCCTTCAGTTTCCCCTTTTCTATTTTACAGAGCTTTATAACATCTATATGTAGTCCTAAAAGTGAGTGTGTGTGTGTGTGTGTGTGTGTGTGTGTTGTGTGTGTATGTGTGTGTGGTTGTATGTTGTATATGTAGGCGTGTATATGAAATTTTGACTTTTTAAAAGTATTTTTACTACATTATTTACTTGTTTGTTTGTTTGTTTGTTTATGGGGTGGGGCATGTGCATGCTTAGGTGTTAATCTGGCAGTCAAAGACAACCTATGGGAGTTGGTTTTCTCTTTCCACTGCATAGTTCTGAGGATTGAACTTAGGTCCTCAGGTTTGGCATCAGATGCCTTTTCCTGCTGAGCCATCTTGTTGGCCCAAAATTTTGATTTTTTTTTTTGACCTGTAATCTTTTGTGGTTTTTGAATATAGCCTATTGACACATATATGTATAAATACATAAAATCTGATTTTACATATACAAGCTGAGTTTCTCCTACTCCAAATGCTTGGAATCAAAAGTATTTCATATTTTAGGGCATTTGGATTTTGAAATGTTTGCATAGACTTTACTAGTGGGACATTAATCTGTAAATCTAAATGCTTACAAAATTTCAAATTTTAATGTATTTTGACTTTCTAATTTTTGAATTAGGGATTATTAGTCTGTATTCATTCGAATTTCAGTGTTAACTGTTGCTGTAATTTATTCACCTGGGTTGGTGGTCATACTATAGTATATTTGCTTGGTTTCTTTCAGATTCAGAATTTTAGAACCTTACATATTCCATGTGCTGCAACTTCCCACCATCTAGACTAGGTCTCTGGGACAGTGCTTATACAGTCTTTTGACGTATCGTGAAAACCTAGACTTAGAAAGTTCAGCACGGCCAACATATTAAGCCTGTCAGTGTAGCAAAATATATGTGTTTTTTTTGTTTTTTTTTTTGTGTGTGTGTGAGTGTGTGTGTAAGTGTGTGTGTGTGTGAGAGAGAGAGAGTGAGAGAGAGAGAGAGTTATTTTAGTCTCACATTGCAATCATGCCTTAAGAAGCTACTCTTGTTGAGTTTTGATATGGGACCATCACACTCTAGAGGTGTGACTATTCCTTCCCTTTCATGTCCTTATTTGTGTGAAGCTGGATCTTCTTCACGATACTTCAGCCCAAACAACATTTTGTAGCAGACTGGATATGGTCCTGAGTCTGGGAACCACCTGTCTTTTGTAGGCCAGGTATTAAAGAGATTTGCAAAAATATAGAATAATGTCACTTTCCTATTTTCAAAATTTTTTTGAAAATGCTAATTTCTCACAGTATGTTATTTACATTAACATACAATGTTTTCTTTATGATGCTCTTCTAGAGTGATTTAAAATAAATATTGTAGAACTTTTCACAGCTTTAGTTTACAACATAGTAAGTATGGCTAGGTGCATATAAACAAAAGCTCCTTAAGGAAGTCATCCATAATTTTTAAGAGGGAAAGGGATTCTGAGGGAAAAAGTGTACGCATTCTGGCTAAAATATATTTAAGTGCACATTCTAATACAAGATTTTGAAAATGTGGCTACTTTGCTAATTTTAATATTTTAGCACCCAGCCTATCTGTATATGTACTGAACTCTAAACACCCCAAAGGAATACCACATGCCAATGAAAAGTAAACAGCATGAATAGCTCGCAGTCTGTGTTGCGGCTCCTACAGAGCCAGCATCTCTCGCTTTGTCCCCTTTTTGGATTTTTTTTGGGGGGGGGTGAGGAGTTAACATGTGAATCAAGCAAATACCAACCCTTATGTCTCCCTCTCATTTCTTAATCTGTGTACCCCCCATCTGTATGGTCACAGGCCCAACCCTGAATTTCAGGTTCGCTCTGGCTAGGTCCACTGTGTGGCCTGCAGGTCACATGCAGGGTGAGATGCACCCAGTGGACCTGGTTGAGAGCTGTTCACTACCTCTGCACTGGCACAGTGCAGTATTCTGTGGGAGTAATTGTACATAATCAGGAGAGGCATTCATTTCTCCTTTGTTTTCGGACCTTCCTTTTTTCCTCCCTGAGTAGTGCATTACAATTTGAGCAATTTCGTGTTGGTTTTGCTCCTGCTAGCTCCACTTCTCACTTCCTAAGTTATCAGTACAGCGATGGGAAGGGATTCTATTTGTATTGAATAGCAATAGCTGCTGTGTGCCGGGTACTAGGTGTCTTATTTTTGTTTGTGAAATAGGTCATGGAACAGAGGTAAAACAGGTTAAATAGTTTAAAAAACCCAAACAAAAGATGTTGTTCAAGGTCTCAGTGGATCCAGATTTAGCTGTTTATCTGCAAAGCTTGCTTCTTTTTCCACCAGGCCAGATTGCCTCTATAAAAATTTAAGTCCCAATAATATTGACTATTTTATATAATGCGATTATAGCCATCGTTGTGTAAACAGCCAGCCCAGGGAAGAGCAGTCCCAAATATTCTTGCATTTCCACTTGTATTTGTGCATAAATCACAGTTTTTATTGGATATAGTCTTCTAGAGACCAGGAGGTGGGTTTGAAGCCAGTCACAGCTTTCTCAGACCCCTTCCTCAAGCTTTATTAGATAAGTCCTCTTGTCTCAGAACTTCTCTCAACTCCCTTCCAAGTTGGGGACACAGAGGCATAAAGACAAGGGTTTTCTCAGTGTCACCTGGCTCCAGAGCATCAACCTGCCTGGGGAGTTGTTAACTGGAAGTCTGGGGGGATCTCTAGCATAGACAGTTATGCTAAATATCACTGTCTCTTTGCCCTTCCACACATGACCTTAGTTCAAAGGCAGAGAAGGTCTCACCTTTCTTTTTGAAATTCAATCAAGTGATCAAATTGCAGATATTTGGCTATTTTTAAATCTCTCCAAATGGCAATTTCTCGAGGTTAATGCTAATATGTTGGATAACTATTAAATTTCCTAATTTTATCTTTTTCGGGGGGGAGGGGGGTTGCTGTGATAAATCGTTCCCTTCATTCAGTTGTAATGTTTCAATTTCTTTATAAAATGGGACTTTTTAAACTAATAGTTTTTAAGGGATGCTGGGAAATAAAGTAGAGAATAGTCTAAGCATGTTTTATGTTTTAAAAATTATTAGGCTTCCATGGAAGTTACCTAATAATTACAGAAAAATAAACCATGGGGTAAACTTTATAAGTTATACTCTTCATCCTTGTCACACACAAATGAAAACTAAAACCACCCCTTAGGTATTTGTTAAATCTCAGAGGAAGAAATCAGAAGTGAAGAGTCAAGGAAGTGAAAATTAAGACCTAAGACACTAAAGCACAAGCACCATGTGGCCAATTTAATTCCTTTTTCTTTCTTTTGAAAGTAAATTGTGACTCACCATTACGCCCATGCCAGTAGCCCAGGCGGTCAGTGTTTCAGAGAAGACTTCAGGCTTCCTTGCACGAAGCAGTGCACGTTTGCTTCAGCGTTTGTGGGGTTGTGGCCTTTCATGCTCTGTATTTGTTTTCTTTCTTGAGCATTTTAGTTATTGGGCTGGCTTTGCTCTGAGGATTGCATCATAATCCAGCTGTACAAGTCTACTTTACCATATCAGTTAACTCATTTTAACTCCTCACCCGCTTATCCACAGTGCTGTGCTGCCATCAGCTTTCAGTTTTCTTAAAACAGAAATTCCCCAATTCCTAATATAGGAGCCCACAGAAGAAAATGATGTTCCATTAAAAGAGAAAAGTTAATAAGACGTAGCTTTGTCCTTGAATGTGGGGAAGTCCAGTCTCACCTGTAAAATCCGGTATTCCATTCATCAAATAAAAAGAATTTAGGAGCTTGAACACACAAAAAGCCATTTGATATTGAAATCACAGATACTCTTTTAAGATATTCTGTGTTTGATGGAATTTTCCTACTTACCAGCTCTTCCAGTCTCTGCAGTCTCTGTAGGCGAGATTGGATCAGCAACTGAGTGTAACATCTGACTGGCGTTGAGAGAAATGCACTTTGCTTCTAGCCTGTGTTGACCAGTGGGGAAGGCTGCGCTAGCTCCCAAACCAAAACATTTAAAGTGCTCTCTGAAACGTTGACGGCCCTCCAAATGCTGGAGCATCAAGCAGTACAGATGTCCACTACCCTTCAGAGGCCAGCTCTAATTTGTGCTTGTATAAATTGGATCTGATGTGGATTTGCTTAGGGTTACAAATTATCAAGGCCTGGCTAAGGTAAACAGTGTGAAAGGGTGTGTGAAGAGGGAGAGGAACCCACAGAGGGAGAGTTGCAGCCGGTGGGAGGATGGATCGTTCCCATGCTTAGCTATGACCTTTCCTGTGACGCTGAAGTAATAATAGCTCCTGCATTCTCTGTTGGGAAGCATTTTCGAGTTTCAATTCACATGACTTTGACTAACTTCTTGAAATTTGTTGGCAAAATAAAAAATAGAGTGAGAGTAGAGCACACCTGTGTATTTCCACCTGTGGAGCTGGGGCCCTATCTGTGGGTGTCCACCAGTCTTGCTCTGCACTGACAGGGCAATAAGAGATAAGCAGACAGTTTCAGAGGCTGCCAGCCACTGCCCTTGGTACATGGTTACCCTGTCCTAGGTGTGCACTGGATGCCCAAAGTGCCTAGTCTGCCCCAACCTGTAAGGGTGCATTGGGACCGTGGATCTTTCTCTAGTGTATCAGTGCATCTGAAGTACAACCTTGGGCAGCCCTCTTTCCATCTTGGTTTGTTCTGAGTATTTCTTTATTTAACAAATGGTTCCCAGGGATCTTTGCTCTTCAGGTGTACTTTGGATTAACACAATAAAAACCTCTCCAAGGGCGCCCTGCTCTGCTTTCCTGATGTGCTGGGTTCTACTTTGACTCCACAGCTCTGCCTTTGCTGTCTTTTTAAATTTCTCATTTTTTATTTCACGAGTTTCTTCCCCTGCCTCACAGACGCACACTGCTACCAGCGCTGCTTATCTTCACCACCAAAGTAAAAGTTCCTCAAACTCCTGCTTACCACTGAGTCCCCTTTATTCTAAGCGACTGTCAAACACTTCCTTTAACTTCTTTTGTAGACTTGTTGAAAGAGGGCTCTGTACTGTCTCTACTTCCCCTCACCCCTGTGATCTCTTTTCCTGCAACTTTGTGAGATACCCAGTCCTTCCTCCTGCCCTTGTCCAACCTATCAGATGTTTTAAAAGGTATTTATCTCATGACAGCATTTTCTTCTCATTGTGATAACGCACATGTTTCATCTTGACCAGTTTGGTTTCAGTTTTTGAGACGGGGTCTTGTTACGGATTTCAGGCTGGACTTAAACTTCCCATGTAGCCCAGGCAGGCTTTAAACTTGCAGTTTCATACTTCTGAACCACTGGGAGGTGAAGTTACAGGTGTGTGCTACCATACCTGGTCCATGGTCTTCTTTTTTTTAAGTTGTTTTTTTAAACTTTTTTGAGATAGAGTCTCCTGGAGCTGAGGCTGAACACTTGATCCTCCTGCCTCAACCTCCCAGGCACTGGGATTGCAGGTGTGAGCCAGCACACCTAATCCCTTGACTTTGTTTTTTTTTAACCTTTCCTACTGATCTTTTTAATTGATTTTCGCTATTATCATACAATATAATTTGATTATATTTAGATCCCTTCCCTATCCTATCCTTCACCATATTGCCGCTGCCTAATTTAATGTGTATGTGCATATAT